CCGACAACGAACGACGATGGCATTGGGAGAGGAGAGAATAGCAGACAAAGGATACAAAATGGTAAATTTCCCATCTTGATGTCCAGCATTTTTGCTTACAGCCACTTTTCTGCTTTCTTCTCTACATATTTGATTTATTCTCTTTGGCTGGGACAATGAATCATTAAGTGATTAATGTAAGAGATTTTGATTTCATCCATTAATCGAAGAATCCATAGAGGCAACAAGTTCCCGAGTCCCTTCGTTTGGTCGGGGCGAGATTAACTAGGATAAGTACGTTTTAATCATTGCTTATTTCAATTTTTTCAAAAAAAAAGAAATTTCTCCCCTTTTTTTTTGCTCATTGGGTGATAAGCTCTTTGAGCTTAATTTTTGGGTGCTGATTTTGGTTGATTATTATTAATGAAAACGGCGAAGTACGAGTCTTGATTTAGTCATTGGATTTGGGTTTGGATTCTGACTTGAGAAATGAACTGAATGTTGACTGTGGGAATGTGAGTTGGTTTTAATATTGCCTTTTATTTTGGGTGTGGGTTTGGGTTTTAGGAATTTTTTTTTTTAGGGGATGGATAAAAGCTTGCTCCTTAAATAAGTTCTGTAGTCAAATTGTTATGTTTCTGGTTATATTTCTTTCCTGCGTTTTTGACTCTTAACTAGAAGTTATGGGAGTTGTGTTTTCTTTAATGTAGAAAAGTGGTGCTTTTTTTGCTGCATTTTGTATATGTCAAGGCAATGGGCGCTAAGATTCATCAGAATCAAGAAATGAGAGGGAGAAAGGAGTCTATAAATGAAGAATAATCAATGATAACCACCTACATAAAAGCTTTATGGAGATATGTTTTGGATTTACAAACCAGTAGAAAATATTCTCATGAATCAAAATCAAGAAATATATTATCAATTTGTATTTATCTAGTGAAAGTTTAAGGTCTTTTTATTAGGGCTCATCTATCCTATTTAGAAATAAGAATTCTTCCATTCATTTTATTTTTCTGCATTTTTTCCTGCAATTTTTTACAGTCTACATGTTCCTTTTTCATGGTATTGTGGTTGTCACTGGTGTAGAAAACTGGGCCAGTTTTGTGTTCATTAAGGGCTTCAGGATTGATGATAATTACTGTCAGAATGGAGGTGAAGAGTCTCAATGCAATAAGGATCACTCTTGAATCTTGAGAATCTCTAAGAATAGCTCTATTTTTTTTTTCCTTTCATGTGAGCTTTGTTTTAATCTTTTCCTCTACTTCTAGAGTTTGCTTGCTGTTTTACTTTGTTTTCATTTGGTCCCATTTGATTGATGAGAAAATGATGGAAATTTTCTATGGAAAATGCATCTTGATGCACAAGTCAGTTTGGTTTATTTTGGAAAGTAATAATAATTATGTATTAGGTACAGGTTATTGTAAATTTTTTTTCTTCCACTTAAGTTTTAAATTATGGAAATAGTGCATAAAGATTTTAGTTTCTGTTTCTTTTGTTTCCCTTCATTTAGAGTGACATTTTCGTAGTTAGGAAGATGATAGAATTTAACTTATTATTAAGGAGACGAAGGGAGATGAACTTTATGAAGCTTTGAGTTGAGTATTCTTATGGATATAATGATATATAGAGATTGCAGATGTTGGCAGAATTAAACTTGATATTGAATTGGTAGCAATGGTTTAAACTTTTGCATCAAAGAAATGACTCTAGGAGTTCAGTTGCAACGGTAAGCCATTTAGGGTGTTGCATGCATGTATGGTTAGTGGGTTGCATTGTAGATCAATATTAGGATCTTGCCAATTTTATCAATTCACTCTTTAGCTAATTTAATTGTTCCACTTAGTTCTGAACTAATATTACCAGTCAGTTCCAAATCAATGATGACATCCATATAAGTACCAAATCTTATCTCATAATTAACTCAATATATCCTGTCCTCTGGATTAGGGTGCTGATCCTTGGAACTAAAATGGGGCATTTGAATTTCACAAAAATTGAACAAGCGTGATTCACAGAGACTGATACAATAATCATGACACAATCTACTCTCATAACATTATTCATAATTACTGGCATTTCAATATTCATATCTTCATATTTAGTTTCGCCAATATCAGTTTTTTCTTCCTGTTCTTTTTTCAGTATGGTTGACTTTCCAATTAGCAGCAGAGTTAGGCTTTTTAACCCATACTCCATAAAATGCAGTTCAAATGACAATATTTACATGGATAATACACAGTTTTCTATGAAAAAAAATCAAGAAATAAGCATGAAGAAATACTTTTATAAAAACATTTCAATGAACCTTTTCTTTGTTCTTATCAATGGACTCCCATGTAAGGTCAGAAATGTTATCTAGGGTGCGTTGTGGTTCTTACTTTGCTGATTGGTGCTTATCAGGTTTATGTGATAGTTGGTCAAAGAAAAATGAAGTTTGAAATAAACGACCAAGAGATATTTCAAGAGTTGGAAGTACTATTTTTAGCAATTTAAGAGGTCATGTGGTGGTTGGTATATTAGCGCATGTTTTTGTGATTTGAGTTTTTAATCCTATTTAATGTCTATAATTTACACATCAATTTGACATCCAATTACATGGCTTATTAATCTTCTAAGAATTTTTTGGCATAATTTTCAATATTGTTACTGTAGTGGACAACTCTTTATCCATGCCAAAAGAATAAATAACTAAATATTACCTTAGGTTGTGTAGAGAGAAACTACCATTTTTCTTATTATTTATTTTCTAAATAAGTTCAAAGAAAATTTAGGAAGTGGAAATCAGATTTATTGTACTTTGGGTGAAACAAAAGAGGTAAAAGGCTGTGTTTGAAAGCTTTAGGGTTACAAGTAACAAAATATTGGTTAAAGAATAGCTAAACAGGGCTTCTCAGTGCCCCTAATGATTTTCTACTGGGTGTACTACTGTTCTTGACCTGCAACTAATTAAGGACTGGATTAATAGTGAGCAACATTTTTCCAGTTGTTGTTTTCTTAGTATTCTCACCGAGAAAGATGTATTTTTTAATTATGGATGGAATTTATCGTTTATATAATCTTTAATTGTGCATATTGATTTGCCTAAAATTGACATTTTTTTAATTATATTTTGTAATTTTATTTTTACATATAAAAATTGCAGGATGAATATTAATTATTGGGAGAAAATGGAGCAAAGCTAGGGACCAATTTTATGAAGGAGCAGCTCACCAAATGCCTTCAGCTAGAAGAATCTGCCAAAAAGAATTGACGTCAATTTTCTCTCTTCTCCTTGAACTATGTGCTATTTTTTGGGTTTGAATAAAGAACCATGGATAAGAAAATGTTGAGATTTGATGAAAATTTAGTTCAATTTTCATCAAATCTCACAATAGAACCACTTAAACCCTAAGAGTTTCATAGCAACTTTTTCTTGTCAGCTGAGAAACTGATGTTTTCTTTCTGTAAAAATTTGTTGTCTTTAATTCTTATTAATTCCTTCTTGACATACAGCTTCTAGAAGTGCTTGAAGGAATGCCTAGGTTCTCTTCAAGATATGAGAAGCAGGTGAGATTCTTGGCTTTCCCTTGATATAAATGCAAGTTTCCATCTATAAACCAACTGAGATTGATCTGCTATTTGTCTTGCTGCTGTTTATGTGCTTTATTTTTGGTTTAAAATTCTGTTAATGTAGAGTTTAATTTTAGGCAGATTTTATTATGATTGTTATTTGTTCAGGGTTGGTTTCTATGCCTGTTTTGTTGGATTGGTCTTAGTGAGAATTTTAAATGCTCATCTGTTCAATCTTATGTGTTTTCAAGTGGATCTCATGTATGATTTTTACTGATCTAAAATGTACAATTCTTAGTGGCTGTGCATGTAAGGAATTGGTTTAATATGAGTGAACTAAAGTAAAAGTCAAAGCAAGATGAAGAGAAAAGTAATTGAATGAAAATAAAAAAAAAGAAAAAGAAAAAGAGAAAGGAATCCAAAATTTGTGTCGTTCTTGGTTATTTTCTTACTGATCAATGGTAAGAAATTGATTGAGAGCTTTATAAGCACTGGATATTTATTAGTTGCAAAATGACTTAAATGTGTTAAGGCTAAAATTCATCTTGATCTTTATTTTTGACATTGTGGTTGCATCCCTGTGGGCAATTGTAGAACTTTGCTTTAAAGACATAACAGTATTTAGTTGTTTAAGGTCTTCTGACATTCTTTTCTTTTCCTTTTCTGGTTGCAGAAGAGAAGTTCTCTAACTGTATTAAGCCCTTTTTTTTTGTCATTTATGCCACGAATTTTTGGAGCTTTTAGATCCTTTTACTTGCTTTTAGGTTCATTTATGCCATGAATGAAAAATGCACTTCTCTAAATATTTTTTTGTAGAATACTAAGGAAAGTGTTTCTTTTTAAAAATAATAAAGATACCTTCTATGTTTTTATTTTCTTAAGGGTGTTCAACCATGTGATAAGACAAGTGCATTTTTTAAAATAAAAAAGAGAATTTCATCTTTCATTGACAAATATTTCTATGTTTTTGTTGTCTTAGATGGTAGCTCTGATTGTTATCTCTTATGTTTTCTTCTTCTTCTTCCTCTTTCTTTTTTTTTTTTTCTCCCTATTAACTGTTTTTTGTCCATTCATCATGTTTCATTGTGTGTTAGGGAACACTATTCTTATTCAATTGCTTTGTCATTTTGTTTAGTTAATGATTAGATGATTTCTTTCTCTTCCTAGATTGATTGTGCTGGTTTTGATTGAGAATTTACGTTATGGATACACATGAATTTGCTTACTTAGTGAGGATCAATGCGCTTCCAAAAGCAGCCTAAATGGGCTTAGCTGGCCCAAAATAGACTGCCATTTAAGTCGTTTCATTGCCAAGCTTTACCATTCAGTTCTATGCTTCTGGTGTCTGCCATTAGAAACTGCCTTAAACTACCTTTAATAAAGAATAAATCTGGAAGTAGAATACATGTTTGATTAATGTGAATCTGGAATGTGGGTGCCAATGCTAAGGATGAGAAATATCTGGGTGTGAGAAGGTGAACAAAGTTTTCAATTTTGATTACCTGTATTGGTTTCAAATTTCATTCATTTATTGTAGTTTTGATGTCATTGCAAATCTAATTTGATATGTAGGGTGATACTATCCATGCTGTGATTGAGAAAAAATATGCCCAAAAATTCACAGGAAGAATTTGAAAAAATATCAATTTTATACTATTAAACACCCACTGGTACACCTGCTGCCAGAGGGTGGAGAAGCGGTGCAAGTTGGTGATTCTGCTGGAGGCAAAAACAGATTGGCTAAACACATTTTTAAAAGATTTGCTAAGCATGATTCAATTTTGCATCTTTCCATTCTTTAATTGTCAATTTCTTTAGTTTTTTCGATAGAAAATCTGTTTAGCAATTTTGAATCCTGCAGCTTTTTAATCTTCTAAGTTAGTTTAAGAAATTTCTGAGAGTTAAAGACGTAAACCTACAAAGTGCCTACCCTAATCTTACAAAAATCCTTTATCCAATCACAGAGAAGACTTTTTCTCAAGCTCAATTAATCAGAT